AATTACTCTTACATCCATACGAATTCTCAAAAATTTAACGTATTTTGAAATGAATTCTAAAGATATATAGAACACCCAGTAAAAATAAAACCAGGGCTACAGATAATGTGGGAAGATGTTTTCATATGAGTCTTGCACGTGTTAAATATTTTTGGTGACAATCGATTTCCGAAATCCATTCGCCAGCCCTCCCGCGGGACGATCAGCTATGGATAATCTTATTTATTATAAAACATTTATTTACTGGATTAAGTTGTAATATCTAGTATCTACCAAATAATGTGATTTACAACACTTCCATTAAAACAATATATGCAAACGAGTCCTCTAAGTCAAAATTTTTTAAACGTATAATACTAGAGCTTTTTAGTATAATAACATACTTCATTAAATTAGTAAAGTTATTCAGTTTTGTAGTAACTACTATACAAACAAAACAATATATGATTAGTTAACCAACTATTTAATTAGACGTTATTTTATCATTTTGAAAACAAAATTCATAGAATAGGATAGACCAGTAACAGTCGTTTGTTTTTAATTTTAATGTTAGTTGTAATATGAACTAGAAGTCTATGTATAGATTTGTAGGGAAAATGCAGTGCACATTTAAATAAAACACTTTAACGTTTAAACGCGTTATATATTAGGTAAACTTTTGGAAAATTATTTTAACTACGGCTTGACGTTTCGGACGCTTTGCAGCAGCCGTGGGCACGGGGAGACAGTTTTACTTATGTATATCCGTTTTAAACGGTTAAAGTGTTTATTTATATACCTTAATATTTGGGAAGTTACCAGTTAAAATCTGTCAATGCGTTGCGGCCTTAAATGTTGCTTATAAATTTACAAGTATCACATCTCTGTTGATCGATCATCCATCAAGCGTTATCAAATATTGCTGATACGATGAAAATAACTTTGAGATAAACTATGTTTTCAGATCAAGGTTACAGTTAGGGACTGGAAAATCTTTGATCTCATACCTGCCTACTTAATTATTATAACATATTGTATCATCAAACTACTTCCAGAAGTAATATGAAAAAGTAATTAGAGTTCAATAAAATAATTAGAAGATGCTTTGTAACAATGTTAGCAGTGAAAGAGTTAGTTTCATTTTAAGATTTACTAATAATATTGAAAAATTAAAACTGCATACCTATGCAGTACATACCTATGTAGGTAAATAAATTATTTTATAACAAGTTCTTCTGAATTACTTATTCTTACACACACGTATAGATATTAATATTAATAACTATAAGCTTAATTGCACGAGAACTTACACGAGATCTGTTTTAGTATTTACATGTTATCAATCTTTCGCAACTCATAAAATAGCAGTAAGTTAGCAATATTCAAAGCTTTTGAGACTTCTGTACACCTCAATACGACATATGATAAGTTTTGGCTTACGTAGGCCTTATAAATAGTTCATACCTACACCTAGCAACATAGCTTTTCATTTGGTTTGTATTTTATGGAAAAATAATAAACGTTAGAATAATTTAGGGCTTATCCATACAAATCCGTTCGCATTAACGCGTATCGCACCGTCCTGGCATCATTAATCTACGTGACAGTTCAAAATTTAGTTACAGAGGGTTCCCCCTCCCCTCCGCCCCGTCCCCCGCTGCCTCACCCCCGCCGCCGTCCGCTTTAGCCCGATGTATCAGACATTCCCGAAAGTCCTTTCCCATTTTGAATATTGTTCAGAATTAGTTTTTAAACTCCGAATGAAAAATAACGTTTCTCGTTGTACGTAATTTGAAAGCTTAGTGGGAGTTGTTTTTTGCGTATTACAATTCTGGCTGTTACATATTACTAGATGCTCGTCCATATTTACCTTCCTCCAGAGTCAGAACACGCAGCGCTTTACTTATATTAGGAAGCCTTGGGTTTGAAACGAGGGGATAGATAAACAGTTGTTGATAGTCAATACAGAAACACACAAATATGTTTGAAATAGGTACGAGAGCTTGAACATCGAATTTCGTATTCATTGAAATATTGACAAGTGAAGCTAGTTCAGTGGAACTGAAAAGGCTGTTCGGATTATCCGCCTACAACACAAAACGCCTCAGGCTTTTGGATTGCCTTGAAATAGAGCCAAAGGGAATTAATCTCTATCACGAGTACATAATTACAATAGAGTTGATAGTCGATACAGAATCCCGCTGCGCGTGTCGTGAGCACACATCTACCTTACTAATTACTAGCTATTTCCTATTTCTGATTGCCTGGTAATTTCATATAATCTTTTAAGAGCCATGTAAATCAAATATGTGCGGTTGCAGGTCGGGAGTTTGATTCCGGTATTTGTTTAACAATGTACATACATATAAGAATGGCGTTTCACTTGGCCACAAGCGCGCTGTTCATCTGTCTTCTGTTGCCTTTTAACATTTAACAATGTACAGCGAAGAATGTTTGTCTATGTTGTCGCGTAAAACACCAGTGTTGTCTGAGTCCCTGCTGTGGGAACCGTTGAAAGGGTAATTATACTGGCAATATAAATAGATAATGTTGAGGCATAACTCTCAAATCGAATTAAAAAGCTTCATAAAATTTCGATGGGCAATGTTCCCTCATTAAAGCCATTTAGCTAGTTTAAACTAGACACGTTTAATTCAGCGCAGTCACGCACAGGACCGCACGAACGAGGATTTTTTCTCGATCATAGTTCAATGACCTTTATTTTAAAAAGCTACATTGGGAGAAAATTTGTAGTAATTTATAACGCTAACTTATTCTTAGAAATCGGTTATTAATTAAAGTGACAGTTTGGGTTTTCCAAAATTATTATAAAAAAGTGTGTAATATTTATTTACTTCTAAATTCCAGCTCCATTTCGCCTAACCTTCTTTCACTGCGCCCTTAACCGTACCAAACATGAATAATCAAAAAAACATTCGCATTATAAAGCATCGTAATATTCAGGGCCAGTGGATCTCAAACTTTATCCTGACCTCATAAAGTGTACATTTAAGTAGCCGTGTATTTCCGAATTTATGAAATGCCCGAACACCGTGACTGGCACAATTCTGTACCGGTGCGTTTTCGCCCTTTTTTATTACAACCCCGGTATCCCTATACCCATAATATACTCGGGTTTGGTAGCGAAAGCGTTATAAGAGGGAGTCATTTCCTATAGGAATCTACTTGAAATAACAACTTTAACATCAAAATATTTCGCATAAATATTATTAACTTACTCCTAGTCTCCTATATTACAATTTACAATATTATTAAGTTATTTTCACTTAGGTATACATGTTATATAAATGAGTATAATCATTATTATTAAAGTTGGCAGTACTGAGTCACTGCTGGAAAGAATTTAAGATTTTGAATAGAATCATAGATAAAAATAATTGACAATAACGTCATAGATACATAACTTGTGGTATCTTTCGTGTTATAATATAGTATAACACTGCGGCAAACTTGTCAAATTATCAAATGTCATGTTTTTTGAAATGTCAAAGTAATGTTTGGATTTGAATACTTGTTGCTATTAAACCTCTGTTGATTTTAGCATAAAAACAATTAAACAAATAATATTGTTTCGCATAAGGTATCCGAGTCACGCCCAAGCTGTAGCGCCCCACTGTCAATCACATTACCGAGTCACTTGTAAACGTAGATCGCCATCAAACCGTCATTACTAGAACACACCCCACCTTTATCTGAGCGTTTTATATTCATTCCTTTATCGCTAGACGATCGAATTTTAAAATACGTTTTCATCAACGACCCGAGAAGGTCATTGCTTTGTCTGCGAAAATTGCTCAATTTTTAAGCTAGACCTTAACGATTACTTATCCAAATATTAGTGTTTTTATTACGATAGAGGATGACAGACAAGCACGGGGTTCACTTGATAGTAGGTGATGTACCAGCCTATAGCATCTAAACAAGATGCGCTATCGACCTATTTTGGTTTTGGATATTCGGAAATTTACCGACTGAAACCGAAACGCGATTAAGCTTCATGGCTTTTTCATTTGTGCACGGTGGTTCGTGACCCGGACGGAATTTTTATATTCTTATTTAATAACCAGATTCCCAGACAAAGTCCAACATGCTAAATTGAAAAAATTAGATACATTTGGACCCATTGGGATCGAACCTGTGACGCGTTGATATTAGAACCAGTCGAACTGTCATGTTACAATAGTTATTTTGGTTTTAGAACACGTCAAAATTCTCTATACATTTACTCTCTACATTACTGTGGGACTAAACCCTTAGTGTCAGCTACACCATAACTTCTTTTGTCATAAATGCCATTTCTCAATATAAATTAATTATAAACTGAAAAAACAACAAAAGCTCAGGTACTTCATGTCATCATTACGATCAATAAAGCACGTACTCAGTGACGTACGCTAGTCCGTCCATGATCGATGAACTGTCATTGTGACAGTGTCAAGGTCGGGTTTGACAGCTGCCAATTCGAGACAGCGGCTGTCAAACTACGCGATGCTGAAAAACGCGTTGCTGTCATGTCGTAATGGATAGCCTTCCGGACCGCCATGTTTGTTACGGGATTGATGAACTTTATTTTTTCATCTTTGTTTTAGACTGCGGTATCTTACAATCGATTTTTTAGAGCTTCACGTATAGAACTATAACTATTTCTCTCAGCTTTTCATTTAACTATATGCATAAAGAAAGTTTTGTAATACTTATTTGGTTGGTTTACAGTTTTAGTTGGTTATACAGTACAGTTACCCAGAGTAACTGTACTGTATAACCAACACTCCAAAATAAAATGATGAGAAGTCATATTAATCTACATGAGCCAGATTTCGACACCAAATAAAAGCAGACACCTAAGCACATAGACTATCGATTCGTACCTACGGTGATGTACCTAGGAAGCCTCCCCGATCTATCGACCCTGCCATACTCCAAGCCATTATTCGCTTTATCTCCTACAGGAGACGTCACCTTTTCCTCTAACGCGTCCAACTTTTCTTACCGCGTACATCATGATCAATAAGACAGTAAAAGACACTGGCCAGCTGGACAAATCTAGCATTTATTTCCATCGGCGCAAGGGTAAGGCGGATCCGCCCTAGCTTGGGCGGGCGCAATTAGGCAACTCGCGTTTAAAAATGCATTTTTTTATTACACGCTGTTTTTACGGTCGGATGATATTTGAGGTAAAGGCATTGTTATTGTAATTACTCTTTGTTTGGCGAGCATTCGCAAAACGATTGTTATTTTTGCTAAAAATTTTAGCCATTTGTTATTTATGAGCAAATTCGTATACTTACCCGAATGCTAACTTTCTCAACTTAAAAATTTAGCACCATCATGACAACTTTTTACCGAATAACTACTTCTTGACCCCTAGTTCGTATTTTGACAGTAAAGCAACGCAATAGGGACGCTGTATCATTATTATCGGGTAAGAGAGTACTTTCTTTCTAAGCGAAACTACTTAAGATATCCTAAACAATTTTATCTCAAACTAATTAATGTTATATCGAGTTCTAGAAATTCCTATTATATATTATCGCTACCCTTTGAAGCCATTTTGTACCTCGTTAAGAGCGTAATTTAAAACATTAATCAACGCGTATAAAATATTCTAAAACGCTCGTCCATTTTTAATCTGTTTATACCTATTTAAGCGATGGACCTGTATGGGCACGTTAAATATATATGTATAGTATGTATGAGACGCCTCGGGGGAGCAAAGGTACGGCGACCATTAAGGAAATTGCTTTATAGACCTTTGGATATTGGTTTCACGTTTTTGTACGGTATATAGACACGTAGGTACTTGTTGCGTATATATCTACCGCTGGCTTTAGTATTCTTACTGATTCGTAGAGTAGTACACATTAAATAATACACTTTGAACCGTTTAAAAGACGCCTCGGAAACTTTACAGCAGCCGTAACTACGGTTTTTATTTAACGTTCATTTCACGTTTTAAACTGTTAAGATTTTAAATTTACTGTTGAAAAGCGACAGACACTATTTTTAAAGGATATCTTTATATTTTTAACAATGCCGTTTCTATTGTATTTTTAATGCATTGTCTAAATCTTAATATAATATTTCTACATTTAAAAACTGAGATCAAGAAATTGATTTACTGTGTGATTCGCGACATGTTCCTTTGAATGCAGGTACGAAGCAGGTGGTGATCCCCTAGCACCTCACTAAATCATCCCCAACATATTTACAGCCTACGGTTGTCTTCTTTGATTTAATGCGTTTTAAATAGAACACATTTCTTTGCGTGACTGGTATCTGCATTTTTTTGTTACTTATCTGTTACCGTTTTTACATAAGTTAAATAATAGTGTGCTTAACTAGGTAAATAAAACACTTTCAACGGTTAAAAACGCGAAATATACAGCTCGACATTTCGTATGATTTGCAGTAGCCTAAATCACGTTGGACCGTAGTTATATATAATATATAAATAAAATAAACGCGAAGGATTAATAATTTGTCTTTTACATTATAAAGATACAAATAAAACAACGGAATAGAATACATTATCAGATATCCGATATCAGATAAGATAAAATCCAGACTTAAAGTCATGTTACATCTTAGGTACGTAAATGATGTCATAGGTACATCAGAAATACGCACGTAAAGTAAGTACTTAAAAAATGTTGCAGACAAAACCGCGCTACCGCTAAGTATATTTTGACTGTTCATAGTACAATCGTTTTTACTATTTGTTAATTCCTAATTAAAAGATTTCAATCTGTACGCCGTTTTCAAATATAAATAATTATAGACATAATTAAAATTAGGTACCCGTAATTAATTTAATTGCTATTTACGAATAAAACGATTCAACTAATTTGTTTATTAACATCAAAGTTAAATATGGCGATACAATAATTACCTCCATACAAAAGTAATTAGGTAGAAAAAACACCTGAAGCGTCGGAATAACAAAAATCGAGGGGAGCGAATAATTAACAGTTACATTGTACTAATTGTTGGTTGTTTATGTGTGCCTGGTACTGTGTTATTAAATCGAGATCTGCTCTCGAATCAAAATAGGTTTTGAAGGAACGCCATTGTTTTTTTTAATTGATGGAAGATTTGTATCATTCGTGTTTCAGTTATTATAGTGTTGCGCGATTTATGTCTATTTGTCTATATATTGCAATTAACTACGTGCCCGCGGCTTTGTTTGCCTTCTATAGACAGATCCGTGCTTTTTCAAGTACAGGTCAGACAAGTATGTAGTTCCCTTGATATAAAGGTGATAACCCTATTTGTATTAAATTGGGGATAGTGTGTAAAATTACCAATATATTGCTAACATTCTTATAAGAAAACATGCATAGATTTGGCTTTTATTTCACGCTAGTTCTTAACCTGAAAATATTTCTTATGTTTTGTGGTATCTATTGTTATAAATAATAATAAATAAGATCTTAAGTAAAGTAGATAACATAAGTCTTAGTAAATACTATTGTTAAAATGTTACTATATTATTAAACATCGACGGTTATTGATTCCGTTTTTATATTTGTCTCAACTACGTCACACCGTAGCCTCGGGGTCGTTGCGCGTCTCAAATGTAGCGTCACACATAATACACACAGTTACAAGTAAAGGCATATTTAGACAATTTCCTCGACAAACACGAGGCCTTATAAATAACATAGTATTGCCACCTCACCCTAGCCCGATATTCAGAAGGTTATTATAATTTTTCGCCTTATGAATATCGTCGCCTTACCCTCGCAAGGGAGTCACACCTCAGCAATTTTACTTTAATTCTTATTTAGAGTGCCTCGCGCTTACAAGATTTTTAGTATTTGTTTATGGCGTTAACTTGTTTTTAGACTCAATGGGGCAATTTTCGCTTTCCTCAACAGCCGTTTTATATTTTCTTCAGAAACAATGGGCTTTTTGTGTCTTCAAATTACCGGGGTGATGAGATAAGGAAGTGTACGAGTTTTCTACTTGCGCCGCCATCACCACCTTACTTTTTTAATCTTACTTACCTCATATTGAGAATAACTTGATAGTAATAAATATAATTGTTACTGTATACAATTTAGTCCACTGTCGTACGTACTATTATTTTTCAAAAATTATCGATATTATTTAAGACGTCACAGCTTCTAGGAATTACAGCCGAGGCGATATTACTAGCCCGAGCCATCGGCGAGGGCTATAAGAAAGCAGAGGCTGTTATTTTCAAAGCGCACGTATGTCATACGACGTTTTATTATATATTTACGAGGAAATTAATAAAACTCTAACTTAGTTAAACGAATAAATCTTTAATTAATTGTTAAAGCAGTTATAAAAATTTAAACAATTTTTAAAAGTGATTGTATCGTTTTTTTTTAGGCAAAGGTAAAAAAACAGCCAGTATTACTAATAAAGTAAATTAATATTTTTGTGTTTTTGTTAAAGATAAATGATTGTAATTTATTGTCAAAATTAATTAAATTAAAAAATTAAATGTTTATTTGTTATATTTTATTCCCAAAGTTAATTTTATTCATAAAATATTTACCACTTTCTTGGCATAAAACCTCTTTGCTAAGATTTTTAAAAGTATCGTTCATTTTTAGACGAAATATCTTAAAATTTTATTTAAAAAAAAACACGTGCCTTTTACATTACATTATCACATAAGTACCTAATGAGATACATTACTATATTGAAATTGGTATAATTACAACCACTTTACGAGCAAATATGTTATAAATGTAGTTAAAACACAGAAGGCACTAGTTCATAGACTAAAGATTTATCTGATATTATATATTATAGAATCAAATATTTATAAGAATAAATTCATAGACAGCAGAGGTCAAGGACTTTTTAAAAATCGAATGTTCATTTGGCGCGCGTCATCGCCGCGCTATCAATCATGCATGCACCATTGCGCCGCGCTTTTGTTCGAATTACGAATTTCAAAAAAGGTACATAACGCGAGCGAAAATTATGGACGGGTTCTTTTCAAAATTCCATTCCACTTGCCTCCCGCAGTGTTGCCCGCACTAAAATACTGAACTACCACAGAGCTATTATTCAATTAAATAATTAAAAAGAACATCGCGTATTTGCCCTCCGTTCAACTCTGTTTGTATTCGTAAGTTATTATTTAGTTTTTTTTAATACCAATGCACTAAATAAAGACGCGAATAAGTAATATACTTATGCAGTGTGACACCGTTAAAAAAGTAGGAAAATTGCTAATGGTGTATGATATTGCCTCCCTTATTTTTGGGGAAAGAAAAGACTAGGGGTGGTGACACCTTCGCGCTCCCAAGAGGTGTTTTTTGGTTGAGTATTTTTCGTTTTTTTCATCGTGTTTTTTGCGTAATGACGCCTTGGTCCTGTGAGAGTTGGCGGAATCCATTAGATAGGCGGGAAGAGCTTAATGTAACGGCTTTTTTCTTGGGAATCGAACCCCGATTTCGTAAAAAAACGATGTAGCTGCGAGGACATTAGCAGGCGTCGTAATGGGTTTTTATCGGACTGGGTCGGGGACATTGTATTGCCAATTTGTTGCAAGAACAGTGCATTATTTTTTGTGGATATTTGATGATTTATCAAACAAAATAATATTTAGTTTGTGAATGTAACATTTGCAAGTAGTGAAGTATGTTGAAAAACGTTCATAGGTGTACCTAATCTTGTAGTTAAATAGTTAATTTTAACTTTAAGTCTGACTTCTGCAATTCGAATAAGAATCTTCTTTTAAGATAATCAGTTTATTCTAGATAAAACATAGTTTGAAACGCTCGCCTAATCATAGTATGGAATATTTGTATTTTATATATTTATTAAAAAACCAGAGGGTTTATTGTAATACGAATCTTTATTGTTTTAGGCAAATGGTGTCCGTCGCGGCGCGAGTGGTCATCGCCACCAGATGTCGCGAGACGCGTCTACTCCTCTGTGTTCCTGGGCAGCCCTGGTGAGTATCCAGGTAAATATCGACCAAAAATTTTTAATCTGTATTCTTAGTAACTAAACATTAACTTTAAGTAATAGGTAAGTAAATAGTATATCTCAATCTGTGGATTATTATGTTTACAAAACACATTTTGGTCTTGGAGAAATCAACAAAAATATTAGCATTTTTGTTATTACCTATTAGAAAGAAGAGTAGGGTCTCAATCTTGGTAGAAAATTAAACCTCAGACGAAGTTGTAAAATTTAGATTTTTTAAAAGATATTTCATTGGGACCTACGTATTTTATAAAATACAGTGTATTAAATTTTCAACTTACAATACTTTACTACAGATTAAAACAAAAAAAAAATCTTGAAACATCTCTATACAAACACTTGGCTGTCAAATAAATATGACATCAATACACCAGTGCCATCTATCGGCCCATTCATAACAATAAAGTATTTTAGGAATTACTTCTCATATTGAACTCTATGTTTATACAGCCAGAGTTGCAATTCTGATAACATAAGATTGCACTTATCGTACACACAAATAAATCATCCATCTCACTTGCACCATGCCGCTCTGCGATCATCCATCCCGCTTGTATTATAATACGTCAGTAACAGTGCCCGTTTCCATTACACTAAATCAATTACCGGACGTTGCTCACTTGACCGTACATCGATATGATACGATATATTTTTGGTGAAAAAATTGAGATTCTTTCTCCATTTTAATATTTTTCGTTGTTAGAAATTCTTTCAAATCTACTGTTTATAAGTGCGATTACAATTATGTATAAGTAATATTGAAGTGTATCCGCTTAACGAATCGATCAAACGCACCGCTCACTTGAACACAAAAGATAAAAAATAATAAAGTACCAAAATCAGAAATGGAATCGGAAGGAGCAGAGTCAATTTATTCGGCTTCGTTACAATTCTGATTTTTATCTAACGTCTTCAATGAACGCCGAAGACGGATTACCGTGGAGCTGCGTCACAGAACAGACAGAAAGGGACGGCACGAGGTTATCGATTCTGTCCTCAACAAGAAAGCATCGCTCGAGCGGGACCGCGCGATGCGTCTTTACGACGTGAGAAAGAGATAAAACAATTCCTTACGCGGCTTAAATGAGACACATTCGAAATAGCACTTTACTTGCTGATGTTACGGTTGCAATTTCACTGTTATTATTACTACTATTGCGGAACCATCGAATGTAATGTTATAACTTCATTGCGCGTTTGATGTTATTTTGTTTTTTGTTACGTGTGTCTTAGGGTTGTTTTTACTTTGATTCTAAATAAGAAGATATGTTTTTTTAATACTGTTTGTGGTTACTATAGTGACGCGCTTTGGAATGTTTAGGACGAATCGGGGTCCATACTATGTCGAGGATACTATTCCCATAAATAACGATATCATAACATACATGTACTACTAACGTAATTAAATAGATAAAATAATTACTAAGTTGCTTAGTGTTTCGAGTATCGTAGTAATCTTTACTAGAGTGTCTATAATAATTAACCGGTCAAGCGTCTTTTAAAATTTAATATCCTTATTAAGAAATCGTAAATATTTTATTGCCATTTTTAACGAGATATCGTAAAAAATCACGTATCCTCCGTGTATAGTGTAAGCTTATATTCCTTTTTTAGTTCAAAATAATCATTTTACTTTATATGATTGCACGTGCTTAAAAGTCGTTTATGTCTTCTCATCTTGTAACAAGAATTTCATTTGAAAGTTTTATTTTATTCTTTATAAATGTTATTAATAGTTTATAATATTAACAGTAAGGTGAAAAAAATGTAAAAACAATAAATAGAAAATATTATGCAGGTAGATTGTGGAATTGCTCAATTTGTATCTCGGCACATGACGCGTTCCTTTTTCGAAAAATCCAATGAGATCGATCGTTCGCCATGTCCGCAAATTAGAGCGGGAATCGTTGTTCGTTAGCGCACCTTGTAACTTAAAAAGACGTAAGCACCGTTCGAGTTTCGCGCTGAAATGGTTTCTATGCTCTTGAAATAAGTGCGGTTATATGGCGCGGGCGTTAATCTCAATCTTCGTTCAAAAGCGCGCCGGTGCAGAGATGCATTTTAGCTAGCGGTGTAGTAAGTCCCAGGGTCGTGCGAAAATTGCACACTTCGAGCCAATGGCCACTATAATATACTGAGTCTATCCGATGTAGATACGAATTTCCGAAGACCTGTTCCTCGGGATAGAATTACACGTCTTTAACCTCCAGTGCGTTAACTCTCTGATTACCCGAGATCGAGATAAAAGATGGTTTTGCTTTGAGTTTTAAGATGCCTATCTGGTAGTTAAGGGATGGTCATTTGCTTACGATTGTTCGGTTTTAAATAGGCACACGTGGAACTGTTAAGAGAAATCTGCAATATACATTGCTTCAGAGGTTAAAACGAAAATGTACTGTTTATTTATTAATCTAGCTTGTTAAAATATAGTGTAAGTCTAATTATAAGTTGCGTGTGTATCTTTTTACTTCTCTGCCGTCGGCCGCGAAGATAAACATATAATATAACATACAACAGTCATAAACTAATTTGTTTACTTTGCTAGTTATCACATAGGTACTTACTTCAAAATTTTACTCACATAAACCTACCATTTCGTTAAACCGTTAATGCACCATGCTTGTTTGCTTAAGCGCGTAAAAGACACTGAATAAAGAACACTTTTAAACTGTTTGAAATTCGAACTAAGTAAGTAGGTTTATGAAAATAAAAAAAAATATATTGTTACACGCACACTTACGGAAGCCCACTGTCTTCTCGGGTGTTGAAAACCGTCTCTTAAATTGTAGTTTACTATATTTAATTATAGATAAAACTAGTTATAATATTTTATACTGTGTCAGTTATAATGGCAGTTAGGTATATTGGCCGTCCCACGAGAATCTAAAACTCCCGCAAAGAAGCCAAGCTATTTTACATAAGAATATGATAAGATTAAGTAATTGATGGGAACAAATTATTGGTATCTCCTCTTAATGCGGTCGCTTGGTGGTCGTTGCGTGAGAGTGCAATTTGTATAATATCGCCTGGCCTGACCTGACCCCGGCGGTATGCGCCCGATTATATGCTAATACAGTAATCCTGAACAAAACCAATATATCTTTCGTTTATCACGTTAATTCTTTCTGTTGTTCGATTTAGTTTCTCGTTTTGACCAGTTTCTATAGTGTTCTCTGTAACTATTACTTGATTGATAATTTAATACACAGTTTCAGCCTTAGACTAGACTTTTTAAATAATTCGGTACGTTATAAAAAGTCCCAACGTTCATACCTACTGTCCTAGACTACTAAATTTAAATTACTACTATATTTACATATTATATAGTATTTTTGATCGTCTAAAATAGACATTATCGTATATTTCTTGAATACATTAAAATTAGTGAGTTATCTAACAGCGGGCTTTAAGCACTTAAAGAATTAACGAAAAGTATCTATCGTAGAGCGTAAACAATCTGCGTAGGCGTTTTAACGGATTGGGGCCAAACTTTTATGAGACCGGTAATTGATCAAACATGTATTCTGTGACGCCATTATGCGCGCGAGCAGTGGGCGAACCTAAGCATAGGTCCGAGCTAAGTGCTAAGTGTCAGATGATGGTCGGACACACCCACGTCTTCATTAAAAGCGCGCTTATCGTCCGAATCGATCTCGTTAACAATGAGACGCGAAACAAAAACGCGGCGTACACGAATACGAGAAATGTAATCGTCCCGTCGCGCCAAATAAAATAAAACCTCAATCAAAAATCTTAAGGCATTCCGTATCATAACCGGAGCGGTGCGTCGACCCGGCCGCCATACGAGTGGCTCGAGAAAAAAAACAAAACTATAATAATGTAACGCACTAAGTATCGTCTTAAAATACGCCTCGACTGCGCGCGTCGCGAACGAGCGGCTCGACCTTAGAGCGTGGTAGTTGAGTCGAAGTTGTGCTCAGCTCCAGGCCGAGGGTGGCGGGTGGAGGGTGCGGCGCGAGGGGGAGGCGGCGTGATGGATGGCCCAATCAGGCGGCGTGGCTGTGCCGGCCGCTAATCGCGCAGTGCGCCCCGAGACTCGAACGCACACACACGTCCAGCACACACCAAAAGCGCATCGCCTTCTAGATATGTAGCGTACCTACCGGAAAATCGATGGAAAACAGCCGCCCCTCAAACAAACATGAGTTACGTTGGGGTCGGATCGATAGCTACCAACTGTTGTAAACAAGCGGGGAATTGGGGAAAAAAGCTCTCGCCACCCCGCGGGGCTATTAACGGCCACGTGACTAATTTTGCGAGCTGTCACGAGCAGTCGCACGTGGTTGTGGTCTGCTGTTGACCTTAAGCTTTGAAAAGTGGCTTCGACCCAGCGCCATGTGTTCGCTGTTTTGCCACTACTGCACACAATAACACCATCTAACCAGTTTCGGCTACGATAGATTCTTTAAGTGCAGATTACTAACAAATTTTAATATATTAAATAAATAAACTATAATGTCTTTTTTAGATCATAGTGTCATAGTGGACATAGACTACATATAATACTTTATCTGTAAACAATTATTTAATTTTACCATAAACATTTGTAGTCTAGAATGTTCTAAGGCCGAAACTGTGTATATACAAACAATTATGGTCTCTGCAAAGACATTGCAGCTCTAAATAGTGAGATAACAAAATTGAGGTCACGGAGATCATCTTGATAGATAAATTCTATCAGAAACATGATCTGCGACGACATTGAACGAGTCCGTTTTAATGTAGCCACTTAAAGAAAAGTCATTATTATAACTGGTTTATTATTAATAATTCTCTGTGCGCTTGAAAAATGTAGTTGATCGTAGAGGTACAGAGTTCGAATCCAGAAGGTTATTAGGTAATTGCTTTAGGCAAAGAGGACATAGAAGTCTAATCAACTCGCTTGTAATGTAAAATAGACACAATAATGTGTGTCATACGACGTAGAGGAAACGAAACGGAACGAAAATTTCATGTAACACTTTAAAATACGACGCCGTCTTGTCAGGCCCTTTGATGCAGTGGTAGCAATGTATGTATAACAATCCAACATTTTTCTAATCAATAATGTTTCTGAAACTTATTGGACAGTATTAAATGTGTGGATTCCGTCCGGACCACGAACCGCCGTCCTCAGATGAAACCGTCAAGTTTAATAGCGTTTGGGTTGTCAGTTGCTTTCCTGATATCAAAAGCCAAATGGGTCGACACCACATCTTATTTAGTAATGGCTGGAGTATTAAGTTTCTACCTACTATTAAGTGAACCAATTGTGATGCCTCGCCAATTCCCAAATGTGAAGAGTCACCTGCATCTACGATCAATTACCAACCAAAAGCACTTGATATAAATCAAGGGACATCGCGCTTTACCAAGATCCTTTCTCCTAATCCCGCCTCAATCGGATCTAATGAAACTGGCCGTAAAAAACAACAACGCCGATGCCCTACGATCATTTTTAACTTTTTTCCGTTCCCCGAGGCGTGGGTTTTTTACTTTTAATTCTGTCTCTTGGCCGCGTTTTTTTGTTTGCCTTTTCATAAATATTTTAAAATCGGATTCAGTCGGGGACAGGCGAGGCAAATGGATTAGGATTTAGATATTTTCGGGGCGCGTAATTTATGCCTCTCTTTGTGGAGATATGAATAACGTGGAATGATAAATCTCTACTATCGGCTAGCTCATGTCGAATCTCGACGTACGCTTTAGTAGTTTCCGACGTACTTCAGATTTCATTGTTATTCTACTAGAGATTATACTATTCTATCTCTACTTTTTATTTAGGATTTTGTTTATTTTGATCTATAGGTGGCATTTCATGCGCTACTTGTCTGTAGTTTACGCGAGTAATTTAAATAAAACACTTTTAACGAATTAAAACGCGAAATGTAGCCCGAACGTCAAGTTAAAATAATTTGTGAATAAGTGTTGTGTTTCGTGTTTTAAACCATTAAACATGTTTTATTTAAATACTTGGTAAGTCCAGTCTTCAAATTTATAATTATGCTTAATTGTGTCTATCTGTTCTGTATGTATTTAATGTATACTAAAATAATACACTGAACTCTTATTCTTTTAAAATAAAACAAAGCTTTAAAAGCTGTAGCACAAAATGAATCATCCATAAAATATGATCCAAATCGTTCAACATACTTCCAAAATTGTACGATTTAATCCAATTTAGTGTGGCCCATTTAAATTCCAATAAAACCGATTTGAACCATAAAGTACCAGCAGCTATTTCAAATATTCGTCCGTTTAAAAAGCCCTTAACGAAATTATTAGAGCAACAAAAAAGGGTCCAGCCGATGATTTACCGACGTCAATTTTGACAGCTCGTAGTTTTGCCCCGACGAAATTATAGTAATTTTAAGAAATAGCTATCTACTTAAAACAAATGCTGTTAAAATTTAGTATTAATGTTTTATAATAGATGCTATGTGTGGAATGTGGGGCTTGCGGATGTTCACCTTTTTGGACCACTTTACTAGGAACCACTAGATCGAATTTGGGGCTTAGTCATACTATCAGGAGTTGTAGAAATTCTTGAAAATTCGCTTTCTTATGTTATTTTATAAAATATCAAAAACACATCTACAAGATTATATAATATTAGTTTTTGTTACTTTCTAGTGTTGTTCAAATTACAGTTACTTACCTACATCATTTATAGAAATACTTTTGATGTCACTATGCTACGGAATAAATCTTAACATTTAAGTAAACACTTTTAACGGTTTAAAACGCAATATATATTAGTTTAACATGTTTAAAAATGTAAAAACGTCAAAGTAGAAACTGCTAAGCTAGCTCTGTTGTTAAAATAATTTTCAAACAAGTTTAGCTAATATATGTCGAGCTTTACACTCTTAAAGTGTTTTATTTAAATGTGTAATACTCGCGTAATGAGACAGCATTTAAGGCTTAAACATATTAAAATAATTCGCATTTCCTCATCACCCCCATAACAAAACTTACGATATGTTTAATTAAGTGAAAATGAATATCATTATAAACTGGCAACATTATCCATTCTACATTGACACAGGACATCCCACACACGTGCGATGTCAATATTCTTTGTCACATTTTTGCATGAATAAATTGTATTTCGCTGCGAGAGATTTAAAATATCATAACGGATATAAACGCGAATTTATATGAGTTGTACCAGTCCTTATTAAATAAACTTTGAAAACGAAAATTATATTCCTCACGGGCTCACGGGCCGCACGGTCTCAATAAAAACGGGGATTTGACAAGATTAAAATTGTATTTCAAGAGTTTGACGTGTATCTTATTGCTTTTTCGCTACGCTGTGGCTTCCATCTTTACTTTTTATTGCCATTCTACCCCCGTTGCATCGGTATCCGTAAGATATCAGTGTTGCCTGCAATGAAAACGAATTTATTTTATGCAAATTAAACTTCATTAATTATGAGAGCTTCTACCGTGAGCAGCTTTTTAAGGGACATTTAATTCTTTACGGCTATTCAAAACGATGTGTCAGTAATTCCGAATATTTAACATTTCGTAAAAGATTTTAATGAAGCACATAATTTGCGGGATAAAATATTAAATTGAAGATTCGAGATTTTTATTCTGTTAATTCGAAATAAGGATTCTTATTGCAATTTATTCGAAACGTTTTTCGAGGAGAATATCTTAATTTGGAGGTAGAATAATATTAAACAGCAGATTACATTTAAATGGTGCACCATTTAAATGCAATGAGTGAAATAGCAAGTGAGAATTAACTTAACTTGATCAAAATATTCTACATTACAAGTTAAACACAATGTTAATAACTTAACAACACTCAACCCGCGCAAGATAAACGGTTTATTCAAATACAACTTTCCCATTATCTTTATGTGAATTTAACAACACAATGAACATTTTAAGTCCCCATAATTTTTATTGTCTTCCACCGTTTCCCACATTTCGGGACAATCAGTAAACTGGCAACACTACGACTAAGCGATCACGGGCGCTATTACTGGAGATTACCTCTAATGTAATGTGTAGGTGATTTGAAATAATCATGCGGATTACTCCGCTCAGCCATTTAATCAATACACGAGTGTATTGCATAAATAAAGTGTGCGCCATTGACTAATGAGGTTATGTTTTTGGCGCCAAAATACTGATTATAATTCTGTTGTCACGCTTAAACGAATAGCGTAATGACGTTATATTGTATGTGCCCACCATAGATTTATAGACACATAACACTATAAATAAGATTGTTACCCGTGTTATACGAATTTCCCTTAATACTATAAAAAAGACGTGATGTGCGATAGTTATTTTCATAGACAATATTAATATTAAGTAGCTATATTTTTATGAGATACGAAATAACTCCGATATCTTTCTTCGGTATACATTCCAAGCTCAATTTAACGAAAACCGCAAAATATGACTAATGCATGATGTGCTGGTTGAAAAAATGTAAATACGCTAACAAGAAATAGTAAAATGTTATGTTCAAGCCACAGCTTGGCTTTGACCACAGACAAAATAATACAACACGGTTAAATTCTAACGACCACGGGAAAAATCTATTTCCGAGGCTGGTATTTTTAAATTACGCCGCCTCGAGGTGCGTTTAAAGCTATAGCATTAATGCAATTAATTTGAAGAATTCCTAATCGATTTTCGATGTCAGGTACCGCTACTTGACAACAGATGGCAGCTTAATTTTAATTCGTTTAAAAATGTGAAAATACTTTGTTGAAGGGGGTAACTTTAAAAAAAATAGCGAATTACTGAAAACTTTTTAATCCGTTTTAAATTATTTATAGCTATATATTATTTTAGTTTATCTTTTAAAAATAGAACGTTTATTCTTGACAGACAAGTAGATCTTCTCAAGCTATATTATTATTATTAATCATATTTTGTTTAAATATTTTTTTGTTTATAAATAAAATAAAACGAATATAAATACAATATGATAAGTAGTACCCGAAAAGCATAACAATATAGAAGCTACTTACACATTCCTTACTCCAGGATCGTAATTGAACATCGTATGCAAATGCGGCGCGCGCTCGCCATCTCTTTAATATTTATAGTACCTTGGTACTTTCATATAGAGCAGG